AATGACTAGTGTGCCCATACAGTTAGTAAGATTTTAATATGATTTTAACACGACAGTATAGCAGAATCTGAACAACAAATTGTGAGGCAAAGCTCTCTGAGACACAGCCGTTGTTTTATGCAGCATATTCACGCCCCAGAAGTAAGTGGATACACTTTCTCTCCTTTTTGTTAGTGGCACTTTTAGGACTGATCGAAGTAGGTGGTCTAGTTAATACCAACACTTAAGCTATCACAAAGCAGCTGACATCAGGAGAAGAAAAAAGTGACTGGGAGTGGGAAAGAGCAGAGTTTGTTCTTTTGGCAGTGCTGTTGGCTCATGAGATCTTTACAGGTTCATTAACTATACCCTGAATAAATTACCTGTAACTTGATAATTTTATAAAAGGAATGATATGATACAATATTATACAATATGATAGGATCACCTGCAGGCAACAGAGTATAAAACTGATGATTCAGGACGTTCCTTCTAGTTCCAGCTTATGTGTATTTCTTGCCTGTATTGGAAGAATCTTGATATATATTTCTATTTTCTATTATTTTTTAAATTTTGTCCTTGATATACCACTTCAAATTACTAACAGGAATTGGAACATTTCATTTTCCAGTTATGTACAAAGAGCTATTATTTCATTAAATACTTCAGCCAGAAATACCTTTGGCTGAAGGGCTGTTATGTTAGCATAAAAAAAAAAAAAAAAGCAGTGGAAATGCTTACTCAAGTGTCATTCAATACATCATTTAAGTTAACTTCTCCCTTCTTCACTAACAAATGTTCCTGGTGATGTAATTAATTTGTTCCTTCTATGTCAATCATGTATCTAATACACATTAAAGTTAAAAGTAGTTCCACTCTCGGGCATCTAGCTTTACGTCAGCGAATACCACTGTTGTTCCACAGCTGTTTTTGTGATCGTGGTTTGCCTTCTAAACAATCTAAACAATTCATGGAATCTGCAGTGTAACCAGTGATAATAGTCACGTCAGGAGAAACTTTAACCAAGGAGATGTTTACGCGTTATTACTACAGCAATTGTTTCGAGATCTATTCTGTATTAGCAAGGGACTGCACATTACCCTATAATGAGTGAACCAGAAACCCAGGAACATTAATCTATGGAAGACAGTGAAAGGCATCTCCATACTGTGTTTTCACTTTCCAAACCCCTCTAGTGCCTGTGAGGCTACAACATGCAGGCAGAAGTGACAGAAGTGGCAAGTGCAGGAATATTCTGGAAGCAATCAATCTGTGTGTTGCACCTTATCCAGGCCACACTAAAGGAAAGTTTAGTTTTTCCCTGGAATCAAGAGCAGCTCTATATGTAGATCAGAGAAACAGCAAAAGCCCATCTTCTGGTAGTGAAAGGTACTAAAGGCACAACCATGTGCTCCTGGCTTTTACAGATACCCTTACACTGAGGACATTCAAATTCTTCCTTGAAATTTTTCACAAGAACTGTATTCATAGCACTTGAACATTCCTCTCAGGAGCAAACCACGGTTTAGAATATTATTGTTAAAACCAGATGTCAGACATTAAGAAACTGGCTTTTTAGGTAAGTGCTGATTCCTGGTAACTGCTAGTATAAAAGCTGAAAACCAGCCATGAGATGCTTGTGCTGCAGCGGTTCAATGGGGTTTTTGTCACTGATCATCCAGAGAGACTAGATTCCACCCAGGCCAAGCACCTGTGACTAACTGGGTGCTCAGTTATGGAAAATGTTGGTTACATTACATTGTCAGCATTTAACAACAGCACAGGTAAAATACACCAAGGTGAGCTTCTCTTTCCTCTTACTTCACATGGGAGGTAATAAGTATGTTAGAGTAGCATACTATTAACACTAAGACAGTGGCATAAATGTTTGTTATGTTTGTTGTGTCTCTCAGTTACCTAGTAACAGATGATTGTATTTTAACCTTATTAGGAAGGTTACTATGTGCATTTTAACAGAAAATATAGGAATAACATTGTATCTGTTTATGAATGAAAAGAGAATAAAATAACAATCTACCTGCTACTGTTACCAAAAACTGCTGGCATATTTAGTATGTATTTCAGGATGCTCCTTGTATTTTTGTTCAGAGACAAACAAGCTTTTTGTCCAGATTATGCTATGGTAGAGCATCAGAATACTAACATGATGGTAATCTGGGCATACATAATAAATCTGTTTTTTTTTCCTCAAATGAAGCACCACAAGCATTGTACCTCATTGTAACTAACAATCAGAATTAGACAGCTGCCCATGCCTTAATGTACCGGTGTTCCAAATAACCTATGGTTTTGGAGAGGCAGAACAGTCATTAGCAGGAGTTTCTGTAATATCCTAGAAGAAAGAAAATTGCCGTACTGAGTATTCAAAATGCAGCACTCACTTATGACAGAAGTGCTCTTACTCTGCTGGATCCAATTATTATTCTCTAACAGAAGGAGCTGCCTCTCTCTCTCTCTCCCTACCAGACTATTTAAGACTTTCAATCCACCATCCTGTAGTCAGCTCTGGCTGAACAATTCACTAAGCAAAGCCACAGAGATGCCATTTTTAAACTAAAGAAAGTAGGCAGAAGGGCTGGTGAGCATGAAGTAAAGTACATCTTTATTATATTAACAATGAACAAACCCACAATAAACAGCTACTGGCACATTTAAAAACCCCTAGGAAGAGGCAACTTCCGGTGATTTTATATTAAATCACATTTTCACTTGGAAATATACCTAAGTATAAGGTATAGGACTAAGAAGTAACACTACACAGGAATCTTTCCTTTGTTCCAAGCCTTCAAAGAGGGAAGATTTCAATTTACCACTATTTGATCAATATATATATTCCTCTCTCAGCAATGATTAGTCCATAAATAGAGACTCGCTGACTGATCTCACAAGCTATATTTAAAACAAAGTTCTGAACATTCTGAAATACAAAAGTCACTCTGTAATTTCAGAGCAGCTGTAATATCTTATCCGCCTGTAACAGGCTGCCAGAAATGCTCCTGGCTAATGCACATCACCATTTGTTCTAAAGATATCAACTTTCTGACTGTAGCAGGTAAGTCAGGACATTTGGGCTTTGATTCATATCTGGTACACCTCTTACATTTCAACTTTGGAGGCAAAAATTTTTGATACATACTGCCTCTGTAAATTTTTATTGAGGTTCCCAATAATGCATGGAATTAGCTGCCCTATTTTATCCAGAATAAAAAAGTAAGGTGGATGTGAAAACTGTTCCCATAAATATCCGCAGTTTTTAGCATGAAGAATTTCAGCGTTTTTCCTTCAACATGCAACTTAGCTGAGGAAATCAGAACGTTTTCCGTGTAAAGAGAATGAAATTCCATATTGTGTTGCTGGTAGCCCTGGAATCAGCTGCAGAGACTGAAGATAGGAATTAGATCCCCAGACATGGATTCAAAAGACAACCAAGGCTCCAAAGAAACAATTATATTTGACACTGCAGCCTGCTGCAAGTGATCCTCTTAGTTATGTCTTTTTAAATTAGCGTAAATAGAACAAGAAATTTTTCAGAATATCCAAATGGAGTTGTTTTTTTTTTTTTTTTTTTTTTTTTAAATTCTGCAATCTGCTTAGATTACTAAAGCTTTCCTGAAGATACTTGGGACTGTGGGATAGAATTCAGAAAATTTTCTAAATGTCACTTTGAAATTACATATATCAATATATATATATTTTTTTTCCATTTTGGTAGGAATAAATGTCTGTGTTAACATTTGATCATAGTGCAAACTGGTGTTTTGTGGTCAGCATGCCTGTCACAACATAATCAAATCCAACGTGTACAGATAACGTCATCAGTCCTGCTCAAAGGCTTAGATATGACTTTATTTATACCACAGCTAACACTAAAAGACATGGCTTAATTTTAAGATGCTACAGGCATTAATAAACTAATTATCAATGATCTTTATGAGACCTATATTTTAAATCTGGTCTCTCCTGTTATAATGTGATGATTTATATCCTACTTTTTATATATGCATGCACTACATTTTCCAAAGTAGGACTGCAGGTGGACAAATAGCAGCTTGTGCCAGTGACTGTCAGAAAACTAATGAATGAATATTATTCCTGCCCCAGCTGCAAATTATGAATCATGACACCAATTATACATGGGCAGAAGCATCATTCCTTTTCAACAATAACACGGATACAACATAGCATCAGTCAACTGTAAACAGAACATTTCCACTACTTTATACACGATGGTCAAGTCTAAAAATCAAACTACTTGGCTGACAGATTGTCCCACGAGGAATTGCTTTCGCTGCCTGCAGTGGCATTCCCCGAGAACCCCCAATGCGGGGGGTGCTCCCCTCTCCGAAGCTCCCTCAACGCCCCCCGTTATCAAACGATGCCACAGCCAGCACCCTGCCCAGCGCAGCAGAAGCTCCGTGCCGCCAGCCCGACATGGGAGGGCAGGCGTTTCTCCCGAGACACTCCCTCACACAGGGGCTCCCTTTCCCACCGGCCTCCCCGCGGCAGCGGCCGCCACGCACGACCCCGCCACAGCCTCGGACAACGCGGCGCGGCTTCCCCGGCACCGGCTGGCAGGCGGCGGGGCTGAAGCAGACCGGGGAAGCCGGCCCCACACGCGAGAGCCCAGGCCCACCCCACAGCCCACAGCCCACAGCCCCTCCACGGAACCCGCCGAGGACACGGTACCGAGGACACGGTACCGAGGACACGGTACCGAGGACACGGTACCGAGGACACGGTACCGAGGACACGGTACCGAACGCGCAGCTCCGCGCAGGCTCCGCGGCCCCTTCCGCCAGGGGGCGGAGCGGTGCTCGGTGAGGCAACGCGCCCTGACCCCGCCCCCCCACATTCCAACGTGCCACGGCCCTGAGGTAAACACGGGCGCTGCCCCGCCCCCCCGCCTCGACCCCGCCCCCCTACGCCGGACCGGCCCCGCCCTCCCCGGTCCGGCCTCCAGCAGCTTCCAGAAGGGCCCGAGCGCCGCAGCCGCGCGCGCCCGCGGAGGGGCGGGGCCGGGCCGCGCCGCGCGGCGCTGGTGGCGCAGTCGGAATTGGCGCCGCCGCGGGGCCCAGCCGGCAGCGGGCGCGCAGGGGCGGGGCAGCGGCGGCGGGTGTGTGTGGGGGGTGATGCCCTTGTTTATTTTTACCCGGGCGGCTCATCCTCTCCGGCAGCCCCAGCGCGGCCCCCGCCGCCGCTCCCCGCCCCGGCGCCGCCTATAAAGCGCCGCCCGCGGGGTGCCGAGGATGCAGCTCTACAGCTCCGTGATCACCCACTACCCGGCGGGCGGGACAGCCGCAGCAGCCGCCGCGGCGGCCTCGCCCAGCGCCGCCGGTGTCTTCAAGGTCTCCTTGTCTCCGGGACCCCCCTCCGCGGAGGCACCGAGCGCCGCCGACGCCGCGGGACCGAACCCGGCCGCCGAGAGCCCCGCCAAGGACGGCTTCGTTCCCGGGGGGGGAAACAGTAGCAGCAGCGCCGCCGCCATGCCCGCCTTCTCCTCCTGCCTGGAGGTGATGCCGAGCGGCCCCGCGGCGGGCCCCGGCAGCCGGCCGGCGGGCGGCCCGCAGTACAGCTCCTGCGCGCAGGTCACCGTCAGCCGTCGGCGGCCGCTGGAGCGGGTCGTGCCCATCCGCATCGTGCAGCGAGCCGAGGCCCCCGGCGAGCTGGTACCGGCCTCGCCGCGCAGCCGCGCCTGGCTGGAGGGCATCCTGGAGAGCATGCGGCAGGCCGGGGGGGACGGCGAGGCCGCCGCCCTGCCGCCGCCCGCCGAGGAGCCCAGCAACCGCAGCCTGCGCCTCAGCGAGCACTGCCAGGCGCTGCAGGCGGCGGCCGCCGGCGCCCAGCCCGGGCCGGTCCCAGGCTGTCGCCCCGCGGAGCGGAGCGGCAGCCAGGCGCTGCCCGCCGCCGGCCCCTCGCCCGGGGAGGAGGCGGACGAGGAGGAGCGGGGCGGGGGGCCCGGTGTGCGCGGGGGGCCGGGCGGCAGGCCGGAGCGCAGCGAGAAGCTGGCGCTGTACCTGGCCGAGGTGGAGAAGCAGGACAAGTACCTGCGGCAGAAGGGCAGGTTCCGCTTCCACATCATCCCCGACGGGAACTGCCTCTACCGCGCCGTCTGCAAGGCGGTGTATGGGGACCAGCGCCTGCACAGCGAGCTCCGCGAGCAGACTGTGCACTACATCGCCGACCACCTGGACCACTTCAACCCTATCATCGAGGGCGACGTGGGAGAGTTCCTCATCGGCGCTGCCCAGGACGGGGCCTGGGCCGGCTACCCGGAGCTGCTGGCCATGGGGCAAATGCTGAATGTGAACATCCACCTCACCACGGGCGGCCGGCCCGAGAGCCCCACCGTTTCCACTATGGTTCACTACCTGGGGCCTGAGGACCCGACACGGCCCAGTATCTGGCTGAGCTGGCTTAGCAATGGGCACTACGATGCTGTGCTGGACCGCGTGTGCCCCAACCCAGAGTATGAGGCGTGGTGCAGACAGACTCAGGTACAGCGCAGGCGGGATGAGGAGCTGGCCAAGTCCATGGCAGTGTCCTTGTCCAAGATGTACATCGAGCAGAATGCCTGCTCTTGAGACTGCCAGGGCTGCAGGCTGGGAGCTTTGCTGCGGGGACTGAGACAGACAGAAGGTGTGCTGGCTGTGATAGTGATGCCTTAATCCTTAATGAAGCAGCAGCACCCCAGACTGAGAAGGACTGTAGATTGTGGGGGATAAATACAGATGTGTTTGTAATATTATGTTGTAAAAACTTAGCCTCGGATTATTTGCAAGCAGATTCTTTGCCTATCTTTGTGTCTCCCCTTCCCACTGTCTATTTTCTATAAGAATGTATTTTTTGCACAATATTTTTAAAATGTTACCTCCATCTTCTACATCTTACATTAGTATCTGGCTTTCAGCTGTACAGCCAAAAATGTTTGTAAACAGTTTTTGTAAATAAGGCTTACGATGTAACAGCTATTTTTTTGCTGTGTTTTTTACCCATAAACCTTATATTTTTACCAAATGAAGTTGATGTCAAACTGACCCTTCCTAATTGGTGAAATCATTGTGGGTATTTTTCTTGCAAAACTAAAACAATGGTTTTTGTAAAAATGCAGCAAAGTATGAACAGACGGCTTTTCAGAACAGTTGCTTTCTCTGCCTGGAGCACAGAACAGGTCCTTTGAGCCAGTTGGAATGCAGCTACACATGAACAGTACAGGGAGCAATTGACTCTTCTGTATTTAATTACTGTTTTGAGTAAACTGGCCTCTTGTTGCCTGGTTGGCTTGCCCTCTGCTCCATTTATATTATTTATCTGTAATAACAGAACATTAACTTGCAATAGAATGTTGTGACTAGATAATAGTCTCCCGCTTTGGCAATAATTGCCTTGGCTGCACCTCGGTGTTTGTGTTCTTGTTTCTGGGGTTATGGTGTCTTTTGTACAAGCCCTGCTTCTTGGCACTAGTGTTGCACCAACAAATCATTATCTGATCACAACATTTTATTCACTTGATGTTGTTTTCTAATCAAGAAATTGGGAATGGCGTTCTACATTATGGTTTAAAAGAAGAGTATTTAAATGGAAGTTTGTATGGTTTGCTGGGTCAAACATTTGAATGTTTCCAATCTGAATTCTGTCTCTACTTTCTGATTAACTTGTTAGATATATTTATTAAGTAATGCAGTTTGTACTTTTTTATTTTGTAATATATTGTGATTTTGGAATTTATACTGTATTTGTATAATAGGAATATTCACAGTTAAAATGGAATGAATAAAGAATATAATTTTACTTGGGTTCTTTTTTTCCAACTTTTGCATTCCTGTTGTGGTGAAGAACTGCAAGGGGGTTCTCAAGGCCCTCTGTTTAGCTCCTCTACCTTAGTTTCCCCCAATTAAGGGGTGGGAAGAAGGGGCATGATACTTTATAAATGCGAACCACTCGTAATTCTGGTGTCTGTGGATATGTGAAAGAAAAGCATTTAAAGACAATTGAAGAATTATTTTGTAACTGTAAGAGGTCTTTGTATATCTCTTTGCCAGTGAGAAATATTTTGTATCTTAATATGCCTTAGAAGAGTTCTCAAGCGTAGAATGTGGGCTGGTTGTGATGAACCAGGTCTCTGCTGGGCTGTGCACACTTGGGCTTGGACTCCGATAGTTGGGAATGTCCATTCTGCAGCCAGTCCCAAATGTTTTAGTTTTGCCTTGTCACCAGTGATACCTCGGCAACCCTCCTCCTCCTCTTACTTGAATAGAAGTAATGTTACAAGGAACTACAGTTTTTTGCACTCCTTGCAAGAGGGGACTGTCTTGCAAGTTGTTAAACAGTACTGTGTGTACATGCGTTTACAAACCTACCCCTGATCTCTAAAAATACTAGAAGTCCATCCTTAAATGACAGAAGGGTACTGGGTTAAAATTGGGATTAAAAATTAACAATAACTGAAATGCAGAAATCTTAATTGAGCACACTTGTAATAAAGAGCTGCAGGATTGATTGTGTATATATTTAGTACTGTTTTATGTGATGCAAGGAATATATATAAATGAATTTATTGTTATTTCCAAAATAATGGTAAATGCAGACTCGGGTTTTCTCCTTTTTTTCTACTAGGAATCATGTTTTTTCTTTAAAGGTAAAATAATGGGTGGAAAAAACCAGTCTTGCTAGTCATCCACTATTGCTTAACTTTACTGAATCTCTGGAAAGCTGAGTTCTGAGGCGAGAGCAAGGAAAAGATGCAAATATGGATGTGTTGATGAGGAACAGAGATAGTTGGTGATGAAAATAGCTACTCGGGTGGCTGTAAGCACAAAAATACTAATACAGCATCACTAAACACCAGTGATATGCTTGACTGATTAAAAACTTTGTATCCAGACTGTTTAGGTTTTGGGTTGGATATGATGAATTCACTCAAAGTGGTCAATATCCCAAACTTGTAAAAAAGCCATTTGTTTCAGATCTTTTAAAATTACCATTTTCAGCTATAACAATAATTGTGATTACAATTTTTTTTGTTGTTTTGTTTGTTCATTTTTTTTTTTGACACAAACCTTAGAAACATGCATAGAATAAGCCAAGAAAAGAAGGATTGATATTCACTCTGTGAGATATAATTTATATTAAAGTGTCAACAAAAAAATAGTGTTAAACAGCACAGAACCCTGGGATAAGTTCCCACAGGGTTCCTGAGAAATTTTGATGCTGCTGCATGAATCACGGGGGCATGCAGATAACTTTAAGGGATTTGAAAAAACTAGGTTACTTGTTGAACTAGTTTGCAAAGACATGAAAGATGTATTGCTGAAGCATGTAACAAGGCACTTGTTTTTGCAGCTTGCATTACATTCTGTGTCTATTGACAGCTTGCATTACATTCTCTGTCTGACAAAAATGGCATGTCAGACGCTCCAGGCACATGGAAGGTGAAAACGTTTTTATTGCTTGGTGCTTAAAGTGCAACGGAGACACGGAGTTCGGATGCAAGCTGATGGTGTTTTGCCTGTGTAGTGGTAGCAGCAGTTTTATGGAGTACTTTTATAGTGGTAGTGACCCTTAGTGTGGACAAACCTTTACAAAACAGCTTGCAACGTTGTCACTTGCTCCCAGCAAAAGCACAAGTAGATGCAAGTTTTCCCTTACTGTTCCTTGTTCAACAATTCAGTAACAAGGGAAGGACAAATGTTGTCCTTGCTCATAATTTCAGTACTCGATTATTTTAACCTTGGCTAATCACTTACATAACCCAGCTAATCCTTAGACCTGTCTGGGGACATTGGTCAACAGACTATTATTGACGATAAGCGAGGAGGAGAGCTTGATTTTCAATATTTGGCTCTAAGGTCAGGTAGAAAATGCTTTAATTCTGAACTGGGAAAATGTGAACTGGAGTCTGTGGGAGCTGAAAATTTATGATGCCATCTTTGGTTGTATTTAATAATACAATTGTGAATTAGTTGACATGTTGGATGCTTCATTTCAGTTTCTCAGGTTGCCAAAGACTATGGCATTCTGTCACTAAATGTGCAATGGATATGTTAGAATTTTCCTGTGTCTTGAACAGACTCTGTTATACAAAGCAAGTTTTGCAAGAACTGAATTGGTTTGGATGTACAGTGAATGCATCCCAAAGTAGGAGTGGTGGGCAAGTGGGAAAAGGAAGATTTGTGTGTTATTATTTTTCATTTTAGTCAATGGTTTTCAGAAATTTCAGTGGATGACTGTGCTTAGTAACTTATTTAGGATGCATAAAACTTGCCTAATACCAGCTACTGGGTTTATCTGTCCTGTTGTACATGGCTGGTACCTTACATGTGTACAAGATAAATCTGTTACATTAATGCCGCTTGTAAATAAAGGCATATTTTGGTTCTCCTTGTGCATGTACTAAACCATGTGCATCCAAATATTTCTTCTGTCTGCATTTGCTTTTATTGTGTCAGAATGAGTTGATAGGATTTTTGAAGATAAAATTCTAATTTCGGTTTAGTGGTTTGTCAGTGTGCACATACATGGCTTCTGAATCCAAGCAGATGGTGATGACAGGTATCTCACAACAGGGACAAGTAGCTGGCATTAATAGTTTTTTGCTTATCTTTTGCTTATACTCTTTCATACATATTTAACAGTTTATTGACATGCATTGTTAAGTGTTCCAAGGATGTTGATGCAAAGTGGTGCAAAATGAAAAAGCCTCAGCTTTGATGTTAAAAAGAATGTCCCATTTCTGAATGGTTATATGAAAGTAAGCAGCGCGCAGAAAAGTTGTGAGTAACTGTTTGGAAGGACATCAGCTCTGCCAAATGCAATTCTCTAGTCATCAGGATTTTTTTAAAGAAGCAGAAAAGGTTAAACTGAACTTTCTAGTAATATATAGGCTGATTTATAACATGTATGTGTACATTTTAGTTGAAAAAAGTGACTTTCGTATTTCCTGTTCAGTTTTAATTTATAATCTGTCTTATTTTTAAAAAACAAGTTTATAGTATTAATGGATAGAAAGATACTGCAATTCAGTAATATATTGTACTTCGGTAATTTTTTTCTGGAGTTAGTATTTAAAATCTTTTTTATACAAGAAAACCCATTCATGGTATTCAGATTGCAAATTGATAGAAATAAAACACTGGCAAGGTCCAGGTTTATGTTGCATGAGTGGTTATTATTCCATCTCCTCATACATTTGTCCTAATTACTGAATAAGATCAGGCTACTCTGGATAAAATGTGAGCATGCAGTTGTGGTAGCATGATGCATGTACACACACAGAACTAATCTTTCCTGTGTGATCTATAATTTGGAATTTCCTGCTGTTTTAGTGTGTGCTTTAAACCATGATGCTTTTAATGCATGTTTTATTTCCTGCAGTTTTTACTGGAAGTTATAGAAAATAAACTGTTGTGTCCTTCCTAGGAGGCATGGTTAAGTGTTTGAACCTTCAGCACTGTAGCACAGTTAAGCTGTGCAAAGAGTGGCATTTGCGGTGAAGAGGACTACTGTAGGAGGGAAAGCTGGAGCTGGGAGATAGTTGTGAAGGAGTCCACGTTGTCTTCTGTCCTTTTGTCTCCCACATCCACCCATGTCCCAAGCTTGGGGAGATCCTGATCCGCTGTGAGGGTCAGGGGGCTGGGGCAGGGGGCCTGTGCCGCTGCTCTGGTGACAGCATGCACCTGGCTTGCTGCTGTTGCTCGTTGGTGCTTCACTATAATGTTCTTATCCTGCCAAGCTTTTGGGGGGCTGCAACTGAAAGAAGGGTTGCAACACTCCATCTCAGAAAAAACTGAACCGAATTTCACAGACAAAGACGCAGCCTTTTTCTTGCCCATGAACTTTTGTTGCTAAATGTCAATGAGGTAATGCTGGTTGAATATCAAAATGATTTGCAAGGACCAACATAATTTTAAAAATCACATAAAGCATGTTAGCTTCTTACTGAGAATCCAATAATGCTTGAAATCCTTTTTTTTTTTTTTTTTTTTAAATTAATCCATAATTTGATTATCTAGACCATAATACTTTTACACGTACAAGGATCTAGTATTTTTTCTGCACAAAACTTCTATTTTTGGCTGAGTGTAAAACTTCATTTTTCAGCTATTCAACTAACCAACGTTTCTGGGCAAGAAAACCCATGGTTTCAGATCTTTGGGTGGGATTTGGAATTTAGTAAGCTCTGTCAATTTAACCTAGTATGGCTAAGAGCAATACTTCTTCCCGTCGCTGATGCTGTACTCTGGTTTAGATGGTTGGAACTTCAACTGAGCTTCTTTTGATATTTTTTTAGAGAGAACCTGTGGTCAAGATATACTCCTTTTGCAAATAAATAATACAGTACATTTTATATCTAAATTGCCTGTCTTCCATATGACTTAAAGACTGAGCTTTGACTAAGCAATTAAGCAATTAAACAATTAACTAACATGTTTATATGACTTGTTTGCTTTCCTACCAAACTTCAGCTCCACTGATTTAGGTTATTCACCTTGCCTTTTGTGGCTTAAGGTAGGAGTGATGGCAAAATTATTGTCTTGTTAATTACTGGCACAATTCCTATTACTCCTACAATCTTTTAATTAATTTTAATTTTTGTTGATTGTTGATTGTTTGCCTGCTCAGGTTTAGCCTTGGAAACTAGTTATGCTGTAAACCAAAATCTAATTAAATAAGACATTTGAGTGAGTTTAGGAGTTGACAGCTGTTTTGCTGCTTATGTATAATTGAGGGAAAGGTGGTGCCCAAAATGAAGCAGTTGTGAAAGGACTTGTTTTGCTCTGAAAGATGATTATGTCAGCTTGTAGATCAACATTGTGACTGCTGGTTAAAAGCTTTAATGCACTTGTGTTTTTTATTTCTTAATAAAGAAATAATGTTATATCATAACTTTTTATGCTTTCACTAAACTGAGAATGGAGACACAAGAGACTAATACTGGTAAATTAGAAAAGAAAATAATGTTCTGCTACTAGGAGCCAGGAGGTAATAGCTTCTTAATTTTTTTTCCTAGCATGTCTAGTATCCAGTGAAAGAAATCTTTGGCTTTAGGTGTAAGGAATGTTTGTTCATGTGGTCTGCATCCTTCCTGAACTGTTAAATTGAATACATGTAGAATAAGATCTTTTACTTCATATTTATACCCATAAAAGTGATGAATAAGAAGTTTCCTTGGTTAAATGACTATCTCTTATGCTGTAGAACATTTAGCACAACAAAGCTGCAATCCCACTGGGACTGTGATGAGAAACAGTGTTACTAACAGCACATGCTTTGCAGGTATCTGTAAACTTAATCTTTTTTTTTTTTTTTTTTTTTTTTCCCTTTTGTTGGCATGCAGTTTATCTTCCTTATCAGGAAGTAAATATTTATGAATGTTTTCTCAGTTAGGTAACTGTCCTTTTGTCTATACTCACAATAATTAATGTAAAACATTCACGTGAATGTGACTCCTAGTAGATTTCCATTTTTCAGCTAGTATTTTATAGCAATTGCCCTGAAGAGACTCTGCAACGTGGAATTTCTAGAAATTATATCAAACAGTAAAAAATTCAGGTATTTGATTATGTATTTGATAGCATTTGTATAGTCAGTTTCCTCTCTTTGTAGAAGAGTTTTATATAGCTCTGGCCAGAGACAAACATGTTGCAAAATGGACAAATAGGACAAATCTGAGTTCTGTTAGGTAAATTAAAGAAGCTTTTAATGAGAAATAGTTATTGTGGAAAGCTTCACCAAATAAGATATTGCAAAGGGGGCTGTTGGAATACCTAACTATATGTGTTTTTCAAAACACTTTATTGTTACACTGGAATTGTTTCAACAAAAACCCCAAAGAAAGTAATCTTTTACAAAATGTTGCCTAAAATGACTGGACAGGATTGCAGTGTTTCTCTAACTGTTCTATTCTGTATGGAATTGCCACAACAAATTTCCTGCTATATTTGCTTCCAGGAGTCCTTCAAATTATCAGTTAAGTGACGGTTAACACATAGGATAACATTTTTCTTTAAACTTGTCAGGCTCGGTGTGTGGAAGTGAGGGGGGCAATATGATCCCTGAACTGACTAGTGCTTGTTTGCCCATACGTTATCCTCTGGCTAACACCACCAACACATTCTGCACTTACCAGTGTCCAAAGCTCAGTGACAAGTAGGTTTATATCTCTACCACAAAAGTCTCTGTAATTTCAATTAAGAAACTTGACAGAGATGTGCGATGAGACCAGAACACCACATAACTGATGCAGGTTATATACTACACTGGTTATTGCATGCTCACACTTGAAGTTCCAATATGTACCTGAAATACACTTTGATTGCATGTAAGAATCACGGGGCATTTATCAGTGCATTTATCTGTGCAGCTGTGTGTCCTGGGTGACCTCAGATTTCTTTGGGCTCGTTTGACCCGGGTTCTCTCTGGCCAAGCTGTCCGTCCCTGGGAGCAGTCAGGCACGAGCCCCCCAAGAGCTGGTGTCCCAGCCTGGCATCTGCTGGCTCAGCGGCGGGGATGGGACAGCTCAGAGAAGCAGCTGGGTCAGCGAGCCCTGGGCTCGGTGGGTCAACACCTCTCCTTGAATTCCCCTTTGAAACTACTAATTACTTGGTGAAGTAAATAGCAATAGAGTAAATAGGAGAGGAAATCTGACCTTTTTGTGTTGTTATCTGGGACCACACGTGGTGTATTGCACTAAAACCATCCTCAGATGACAGAAGACAAATTGCTCTGGTATTGTATTTGAAAGGAACCATGACTTCTATCATCCCAGAGACAGATTATACAACATGAACATTGGCAGTGGCCTCAGCCTTAACATCTCCAGGAAATCATTCTGCCAACTAGGCTTCTAGCCTGTGAGACCAAGTAGGTAATAGTAGATGCTCTACTTCAGTCAAGGGATTGAGTTAATCTCTGCTAGGACTTTTGGTGTTTCCTCAAGCCTTTGAGCTTTATCTCAGTGCTCTCTGGATTGAGCTCTAGCCAGCCAGCAGCTATATCAAATCTCATTTGGTCATTTGATATTGATAGAGGAGGTAGACAAGAAGCAGGTACTATCACTGTGTAGGGAAACTTGTGCTCTAGCATATCTCATTGGTTCTCCTAACAGTGTCTTATATCACTCCTGTCTAGTATGAAGTGCGAGGAAAAGGAATTATACACCACTGGAACACAGAATCAGTTCTCTCTCGCTTAAAATCTGTCAGATAAAAATCTTCAGATCTGTGCCAAGCCAGATACACTTAACTTTTTTTTTTCTCTTCGAACTATAAATAATCACTAGGGGTTTATAGCTAGCCATGGAGGCATTCTGCAGCTCTGAAAATGCTACAGACATTTGGTCACATGGAGATCTTCACTGGGATGCAGTCAGGTTTTCT